CTGACCCTTAAACAGCGGTCCTCACAGACTGCCGAGCTGTGCCTTCCTGTGCCCTCTGGCCTGCGGGTCACTCCCTGCCATGGTCCACCCGGTAGCCTCACACTTCACTCCCTGGAGTTTGGTGGATTTTGCATATTTTAAGATTCACTTGAGGCCAGGTGTGGTGGCTCATACCTGTAATCCCAGAGCTGTGGGAGGCTGAGGTGGGAGGATCACCTGAGGCAAGGAGTTCAAGACCAGCTTGGGCAACTTAGCGAGACCCTGTCTCTACAAAAAAAGTTAAACTACAGGCTAGGCACTGTGGCTTACGCCTGTCATCCCAGCACTGAGGCGGAGGTGAGAGGACTGCCTGAGTCCAGGGGTTCGAGACCTCGTCTTTACAATAAATAAAAAAATTAGCCGGGTGTGGGGTAGCGCACACCTGTAGTTTTGGTTACTTGGAAGGCTGAGGCGGAAGGATTGCAGAGCCCAGCAGGTCGAGGCTGCGGTGGCCGGGAGCGGCCACTGCACTCCAGTCTGGGCGACAGAGTGAGACTCCAACTCAAAAAAAAAAAGAAAAGAAAAGAAAGAAGAATCGCAAGTGTATTTGTGGAAAGGCAACAGACAAGGGAAGCAGAGGCAGGGTGTGCTGAGGGTTGGTCATGGGCAGACGCAGCCGGACCGGGCGTCCACCCTCAGCGACAGCTAGTATGGGATCACTCCAGTGGGCGTGGACACCGACGGGCTGCAGGAGCGAGGAGCAGCTTGCTCTCGGTGAAGAGGGGAGGAAAAGGCCTTTGCGGGAGCCATGTGAACCTTGGCTGCAGAGCCAAGAAGCCTCTGGGAAGAGAAAGGTCAAGGCCCGCGCTGCTTGGCCAGCCACAGCCGCTTGGGGGCGCTGCAGGCTTCGTGGCCGAACCGAAGTCCGTCCCGGTGGCTCCCTCTCCCGGCAGAAATGGACACTGCGCCCTAAGCGGTCAGACCCCCAGGCGGAGGCCTGGCCCCTGGGAACGGTGGTGCCCGGGGCGGACGTCGAGGCCCTCGCGAGGATCGTGCTGAGCTTTGAGGCAAAGCCCAGGAGGCACGCTGCTGAAAACACATGGCGTCACGAGTTTTTTCTGGTTTATGCAAGACTCACGCAACCACAGCCTGTGTTACCGTGAATCCTACATAATGGTCATGGGGGTGGGAGACCAAACTTGGGGATGTTTTAAGGTTTAACAGGCGGGAATATTTATTCTATGTTGTGCCCCAAAAAGTGTTGACAGATGACACTCAAAAGATGTGACAGTCATCCAGTGGAACGACACAGGGTCAGGACCCCTGTCCCTTAAATAGGCTGAGGACCCCTTGGTAACAGAAGCATTTCCCGGCCATCACTGTATCTCTAGTTCCTGACATGCTTGTGTATTAGAGGACAGGGCCTCGGGATGTTCACTAGGGAGTGTGTCACCCTCCTGGCTTTGTTTTGTTTTTAATTTTTGAAAAAATGACACAAACCGGTCTCGGTGGCTCAGCCTGTAATCCCAGCACTTTGGGAGGCCAAGGTGAGTGAATTGCCTGGGCCCGCGGGTTCGAGACCCGCCTGGGCAACTTGGCAAGACCTCATCTCTCTCTACAATAAATCAAAAACTAGCCAGGCGTGGTGGCGCGTACCTGTAGTTCCAGCTACTTGGAAAGCTGAGGCGGAAGGATCGCCGGAGCCCAGCAGGTTGAGGCTGCGGTGGCCGGGAGCGGCCACTGTACTCCAGCCTGGGTGACAGAGTGAGACTCCAACTCAAAAAAAAACCAAAAAAAAAACACCAACTGTCCTTTTTCTCTACGTGACGAAGTGAATGAACATGAGGATTCTGTCAAAACTGCAAAAGACACAAAGTGCGAGGAGCCAGGTGCCACGAGACAGACTGCAGGACCGGCACGCCCCCGTCGGTATGGACAGGATGAACAAATACTGGCGGAGTCATTGCTGGTATACGCGGAATGTTTGAAAGTCCTTGCTGGGGAAGGGGGTGAGGACAGGGTGGCTGGGAGGCCAGAATGGAAGACTTTGTTATATGCTGTCTTAAAGGTTCTAATTAGTTGAAAGCCACAAAAATATCACCTACTTTAAAAGTTGCAATAAAAAGCCGGGCTCGGTGGCTCAGCCTGTAATCCCGTGCCTTTGGGAGCCTGCGAGTTCGAGACCCGCCTGGGCAGCAAGACCTCATCTCTACAATCAATCAAAAAATCAGCCGGGCGTGGTAGCACATGCCTGTAATTCTGGCTACTTGGAAGGCTGAGGCGGAAAGATCGCCGGAGCCCAGCAGGTCGAGGCTGTGGTGGCCGGGAGCGGCATTGCACTCCAGTCTGGGCGACAGAGTGAGACTCCAACTCAAAAAAAAAAAAGTTACAATAAAAATTGAAAAATGGGCCAGGCTTGCTGGCTCAGCCTGTAATCCCAGCACTTCAGGAGACCAAGGTGGGTGGATTGCCTGAAACTGCAGGTTCGAGACCAGCCCGGGCAACTTAGCGAGACCTTGTCTCTACAGTAAATCAAAAAAATTACCTGGGTGTGGTATCACACGCCTGTAGCTCCAGCTACTTGGAAGGCTGAGGTGGACAGATCACCAGAGCCCAGCAGGTCAATGCTGGGGTAGCCGTGAGTGTGCAACTGCACCCCAGTCTGGGCGACAGAGACTCCGACTCAAAAAAAAAACAAAAAAAAAAAACCCAGGCATGGTGGCTCACGTCTGTAATCCCAGCACTTTGGGAGGCTGAGGTGAGAGGATTGCCTGAATCCAGCAGGTCAAGGCTGCGGTGGCCATGAGCATGCCACTGCACACTATCCTGGATGGCAGAGTGAGACTCTGACTCAAAAAATAAAAATAAATAAATAAATATGGGTCAAATGGACCAATCATGAATTATGAAAACAAGTGCACAACAGGCATGGTGGCTCTCACCTGTAATCTCAGCACTTGGGGAGGCAGAAGTGAGAGAATTGCCTGAGACTAGGGTTTCAATACCAGCCTGGATAACTTGGCAAGACCTCGTCTCTACAATAAATTTTAAAATTGGCTGGCTGTGGTGGTACACACCTGTAGTTCCAGCAACTTGGAAGACTGAAGCGGAAAGAACCCGAGCTCAGCAGGTCAAGGCTATGGTGGCCATGAGTGTGCCACCGCACTCAAGCCTGGGAGACAAGAGTGAAGACAAAAAAATAAAAACCAAAATCGTATGATAGTGTGATCTCTTTAACTTGGCAGTTTCAATTTTAGAAACCTTACAGAAATATTAATATCCAAAAAGATGTGTGAAGACATACTTTGAAACAGCATCTTAATAACAAAAACGCTAAAATGTAAAATGTAAAACTGGAAACAAATGTTGGTGGACAGGTTAAATAAATCACAGGGCATCCATACAATGGAATACTAGCAAGAGTATTAAACAGGGTAAGGTAGGTCTGGACACATAGCATGGAAAGATGTCCGTAATTACCTAGTCCCAAACCAACCAACCAACAACCGAGAAACATCATACGGAGAATGACCCAATTTATGTATGCATATACAAATATGTAGATAATAAATATGGGTATTTGTTACATAAGGGAAAAGCCCAAAAGGATACCAAACTGCTAAAGCAATTACCCCTGGGAAGTAAAATTGTGATTAGGAATTTAGGTGGATTCCTCTTGCCTTTGACTTTATAAACCTGCGGGTGCGACACACACACACGATATGCATGTATAAAAGTATGATTGTATTTAGAAATGAGGCACATATATTCCTAGGGTTTTTCCTGAGAGGAAGCACATATGAAAATGTCACTTTCTGCACCGATTTTGTATCGCTCTGTAGCCACTTTTACAAAACCTTCCCAGCATCTACACCTGTAATTAGCAATTCCTCAACCTGATAGAAAGCACTTGGAGAAACAGTGTTCTCGGGGAGTCGTGAAGCAAGCACCCTCATCCCTGCGTCACTCACACAGCTTTGCTAGTGAGGCCCTCTAGAGCCAAGAGCCTTCTGGCTCCACGCAGTGCTGGAACGGGGACCACTCGCCACTGACTTTCGACAGTACTTTTCAACAGATTAGCAATCAGTGCCTGATGTCAAGTTTGCATTTTCAAAACATCATTCACGGTTTTGTTCTAGCGAATTACTAGCATACTGGCAGTGACTGCCAGCCTGAGTTTGACCTATGTGCTCACTTGGCACGAGTGAGTCATGGCAATTGTTCATAGACTTCTCAAACTTTGCTAATCCCTAAAGCTAAAACCGGTTTACAACAAGTAATTCAGGGTCCCCTAAAACTAAAGATGAGAGGGTAGGGAGTAATGCTCTCGGGGAAAAGCAATCTTCCAAGGGCTTTGAGAGGCCTGATTTCTGGGGAGCCGGCCACCTGGTGCCGGCTTAGTATCAACCAAGCTCCCCCGCACGCCCCCTTAGTTCCAACTGACAAAACTCACCTGTACCATGGGACTGCACAAATGCCACTACCACAGACCTGAGCAGGTACAACCAGAGGCCGGCCACTTTAGCCCAGTTAGGTTGTATTCAAGTCCTTCAGCTGTAGTGACCATACACAACTCAGGAACAGCTTTCACTCTGTAAGCACCAATTCCTGTTCAGGTCGGTGAGCATCCTTTGAATCTGATCATGTGACTTTCCGCGAAGCTCAATGTGCATCCCTATGGAGCCACTGATTCCTCTGGAGATCCTCCCATTACTCCCATCTTTTACCACCCACCCCTGATCCCGTGTGCCACCTTTCCCATTCTCCAGTATCTCACAGACCACCCCCCCATCATTCTGAACGCCAACAGCTTGCAGGTAAATGCACATAGAGAAAACACCAACTGTGCCTCCCAACAGCTTAGTTTTTGTTCCCACCTGCTACGATTCTCTATTAAGGCCACTCTTTGCTAATATCTCTCACCTAAGGGTCACCAGAGAAACATTTGGTAGACTGAAAATCCTCATCCCCCCAACAATGCCTAACTACTAAGAATCTTAAACAAAAAACCCCCACAACAATTGGGAATGCAACAACTTTATTGAAAGAAAAGTGCAATGAGATTTGCTGATAGCTTAAAAGAAAGGGAAAACTTCGACACCCCCCCTCAAACGCAGGACCAAGTGCAGGGTGGACTCTTTCTGGATGTTGTAGTCAGACAGGGTGCGTCCATCTTCCAGCTGTTTGCCGGCAAAGATCAGCCTCTGCTGGTCAGGAGGGATGCCTTCCTTGTCCTGGATCTTTGCCTTGACGTTCTCAATGGTGTCGCTGGGCTCGACCTCCAGGGTGATGGTCTTCCCAGTCAGGGTCTTCACGAAGATCTGCATCCCCCCTCTCAGACGCAGCACCAGGTGCAGGGTGGACTCTTTCTGGATGTTGTAGTCAGACAGGGTGCGCCCGTCTTCCAGCTGTTTGCCGGCAAAGATCAGCCTCTGCTGGTCAGGAGGGATGCCCTCCTTGTCCTGGATCTTTGCCTTGACGTTCTCAATGGTGTCGCTGGGCTCGACCTCCAGGGTGATGGTCTTCCCAGTCAGGGTCTTCACGAAGATCTGCATCCCCCCTCTCAGACGCAGCACCAGGTGCAGGGTGGACTCTTTCTGGATGTTGTAGTCAGACAGGGTGCGCCCGTCTTCCAGCTGTTTGCCGGCAAAGATCAGCCTCTGCTGGTCAGGAGGGATGCCTTCCTTGTCCTGGATCTTTGCCTTGACGTTCTCAATGGTGTCGCTGGGCTCGACCTCCAGGGTGATGGTCTTCCCAGTCAGGGTCTTCACGAAGATCTGCATTGTCTGTTACAATAAAAAGTCAAACCAAAAAACAACCGAAGAGTTAAAGCCAACTCACGAGTTTTCCCACCGCTTAACCATCAGTTTACTTGGCCCAAACGGCTACAATTACAAACCTGCCTAAGAAGCGCAACAGAACACACGCAGACCTGGCGCGTCCACACCCAGGCCTCAGCCACCCACAGGCAAGCGCGTCCACCTCACCAAAACGGACTCGGAGGCCTCCCTGTCCCCTCGCCCGACGCCTGGCCCTTGTCCACTCAGAAAGGTCTCCCGGGTCCGCACTCCGGGTCCCGCGACTCGGAAGCGCTGGCGGCGCACACACCGGCAGGCGGCCCCGCCCTGCATCATGAGCCAACAGACGGCGTGACGTCACGTGCCCGCGGGGGCGAGCTTCCCCCTCCCCCCGGAGACTTCTACGCGGCACCGCCATGGCGGCCGCCCCCTTGACTGACAGTGACAGAGACCGAGTCCTCCCCCTCTTCCACCAGTCAAACCGCCGAACTCGAGGCCTCACGTCCAGCCCCCCAAACTGTCCCCAAGCCAACAAAACCCCGGTCCCCGCCTGGGCTGAGGCCTCGGGGCCCCCGCGCTCCGTCCCCCGCCTCACCGGCCGCCTCCCGCTCGGGCTTCCACCGACCAAGGCTCGGGGACGACCGCCATCTTGCTGCGCTCCGGCCCGGGGCGGCCGAGGGCCGCGACTGTCTCTCCGCCCGCGGCGGCAGCCCGCTCCCCGCCTCCAGCCCCTCTCGCGGCCGCACGGCCTCGAACCCCCGAACCCCCGGGCAGCCCCGCAGCGCCCTCCTCACCGAGCGGCGACGACAGGAGCGCGGGACGAAGAACTGAGACTCAACTCCGGCCTCGACGGAACTTGCTGCGCCCCGCCCGGCGCGCCTTTATATAGTCATAGGGGACCACCGCCCAGGGAAGATCCCTCCGCAGAAACGCCGAGAAGGGACTACTTTTCCCAGCCTCTTCTGCCTGCTGGAGAGAAACCTCGAGCGCCGGTATCACCCAGCCCCCCGCCTAGAATGTTCTCCCGCGGAGACCCGGGCTGCTGGCCCGAGTCCGGCGACGAGCGGGCGGCCGTTCCGCGCGGCCGGCGGAGGGATCAGCGCGCTCGGTGCGCGCTGCGGCCCTGACG